TAAAATAACAATTTGAATAGAAATTTTGGCACAACTTTTTTGTGAAAGCAGACTGAACCTGCAAACATGACCATACCCTAAAGTTAATGAGAAGGCATATATATCATGACCATTGTCATTCAATTAGCAGGTGCTATTTGCTGAGTATTAATTACATGTGAAACATTTTATACATTTTCTCACTGAATCTTCATAGTAACCGAGCGAGATCAGTAACACTGCTACTGATATTTTACAGAGGAGGAATCTAAAGCTAAGTGAATTTAACTGATTTGCCCAAATTAGTAAGTATAAGCACAATAAGTTTTGCATCCTTTTTCTTCTTTTTTGAGACAGAGTGTCACTCTGTTGCCCTGGCTAGAGTGCAGTAACATCATCATAGCTCACTGCAACCTCAAACTCCTGGGCTCAAGCAATTCTCCTGCCTCAGCCTCCCGGGCAGCCAGGACTACAGGTGTGCACCACAACACCTGGCTATTTTTTTCTATTTTTGGTAGAGACAGGGTCTCACTGTTGCTCAGGTTGGTCTCAAACTCCTGATTTCAAGTGAATCTCCAGCCTCGGTCTTCCAGAGTGCTCACATTATAGGTGTGAGCCACTGCACCTGGCCTCTTTCTCTTTTTTATTTCCCCTCAAGAACTCAAAACTAGCTCCACTTTTTACCACTTGACATTGTTTTTCTAGCTGACAGCATTAGCATAGTTCTACATTAATAATATAACCATTAGAAGATTGATAGTCAACATTGGTTGAGTGATCACTAGGTACTATTCTATTAAAAATATATAATAAATTCATAAGTTAGACACTATCATTATCCACATTTAGCAGATAAGGAAACTGAGGCATAGGAAGTAAATTTCTATGGTTCCACTCTTAGCATATACAGTGGGACCATGGGTCAAGCAGGTCTTCTCTACACATTGTTTTTTCCTGATTCTGAGTAGAAGTGTCACCTCATTCATTCATTATTTATTAAGATTCAAGGAAGGATGTCCTTTAAACTTTCTACTCTGGTAAAGTAGCCTCAGCCAATAGGATCTCTCTCCTGGACCGATGTACTCATGGCCTTGTAACTGGCCTCCCTGGGTCTGCTCCTGACCTCCCCCTGCTTTAGTCTGTCCTCCACACGCAGCTTTTGTGGCTTCCTGGCCAGAAACCCTCCAATGACTTCCCATCACAGTAAGCCTAACCTGATGGGAGCCCTGCCCACCCTCTAACCCCCGGCCCAGCCATTCTTTCCTGTTCACTTTCCTCCAGCAGCAAAGGCTGTGTGTTGGCTTGCACCAAAGCTGGCTCATTTTCACCTTAGGGCCTTACACACATCTAGAAAGCTCTTTTCTCAGTATTACAATAGCTGGCTCTTTCTTACCAGGTCTCCAACAAATTTCACCTCCTCAGAGAAGCCTTCCTGCTATCATCTCAAGAATCTCCCCCATACCTTCTTTCTGGTACCCACACAGTCACTCTCAAGTCCTTTGCTTTATTTTCTTCATAGATTTTATTACTGTCTGAAATGACATATTTATACATCTACTCACTTACCATGTAGAACATAAGCTTAATGCAGGTAACCCTGGAATCTGGAAAAGGCTATATATTCTCTTCTGGACCCTCCAGAAGGAAGCATCCCTGCTGAAAAATGTATGTTAGACTCTAACACATGTTAGACTTCTGACCTCCAGAACTCTCAGACAGTGATTGTGTTATTTCAAGCCACTAAGTTGTAGTACCTTGTTACAACAGCAATAGAAAATTAATATAACATACTAGCAAATCTTGCCCTTTTTTTCTTCAGATATGTACTTCTGCATGTGACTTTGTAATTGGGCCTTAAGAGCAGTCCTTGATCTAGTTGTGGTTCTGGAAGCAAAGAAGGATGATTGGATAGAACCTAAGGGAAAGAGGCATTGCATTTGCAAGGTGACCACCTCAGATAAGATCATTACAAAAGCTGCTTCTGCTAGCAAGCAAGGCTCAGTGGGTTTAGAGATTTGGGTACTTGGAATTATCCAATTCTCCCAAACTCTTCCTCCATTTGAACTCTTTGGGTCCCAGTCTTTACCCTCACTTTCAGATAAGAGGCCCAGTTATGAATTTAGCCTGTATTATGATTTGGTGGTGTGGAGGACCAGACTACTCTGGTAGTCTTTGAAACTGGTCCATTGACTTTTCCTTCAGGTGAGAATTTAAAATCTTGAAACTGTCACTTTTTTTCTATCAGTTCTCCAACATAATTAGAAATAGCCACTCCATCTCTTCATTCTAGGAGATCACAGGTGATCATTTATATGGCGATTTTTCTACTCAGAGCCTTGGGCTACCAGTATTCCATCCTCAAACACTCACTGATCTTCACCACTTTCAGACCAGCCAACTTGAAGCACTGATCCCAGAAGCCCATTTTTTTCACGAGGGTGCATTACCTATAATGCACTCTTTTTGTGCCAGTAAGTGTGTAGGTCGTTATATTAGTTTCTAATTGCTGCTGTGATAAATCGCCACAACCTTAGAGACTAAAACAGTACAAATTATTATCTGTTCTGGAGATCAGAAGTCCTAAAATCAAGGTTACATTCCTTTTAGAGGCTTTAGAGGAGAATCGTTTTCCTTGCGTTTTTCAGCTTCTAGACGCCACCTGCATTCCTTGGCTCATGGCCCCCTTACTTCATTTTCAAAGCCAGCGGCATAGCATCTTCAGATCTCCTCTCTCTGGCCTCTGCTCTCATGGTCACGTCTCCTCCTACGACTCTGACTCCCTGTTTCTCTTAGAAGGACCTTTGTGATTATATTGGGCCCACCCAAAAATCCAGGATAATCTTCCCGTCTGAAGGTCTATATCGTTAATCACATCTGTGAAGTACCCTTTGCCATGTAAAGTCACATATTCACAGGTTCCATCCAAGGATCAGGATGTGACAGGATCTTGGGGGCATCTTCTGTCTGCCATGCACATGTTTCAGTTGTAGACAAAGAATCCAGTTTATCTGGGATAAGTAGAAAGAGGATTGTAGGATACTAGTTGGTCTATTGGATCATTGGAATGGGTGGACTAGAGGATGCCCAGAGTGGGCTGTGAACCTGTCTGACAAGAAAGCTGCTGCAGGGCTCAGCCAAAACCCTTCCGCCATGCATGTGTCAAGAGTCATGCAACTGACACGTGACATCATTCACTCTGCCTTCAATGAGGGTTCATCTCTTGGTGAAAGCTAGGGCTTACAGAAATGCTGGCAGCAGGCCGGCACGGTGGCTCACGCCTGTAATCCCAGCATTCTGGGAGGTCGAGGCGGGTGGATCACTCAAGGTCAGGAGATATTTAGCTTTTATTTCATTTGTGTCCGTTTTCCGTGCGTATCTTAAGTTTCACAATTTAAGGCATAAAGTTGTTATATATATCTCGTTGTTTATCATTTGTCTGTAAGATCTTTATTATTATTTGCTTGCTTTTTAGTTTTATTTGCTTTTTGTTGATTATTGGGCCTCCTTGGAGATGGATAACTTAAAATCGATTTTTGGAAACAGTCTCGCTCCTGTTGCCCAGACTGGAGTGCAGTGGCACAATCACAGTTTACTGCAACCTCAACTCCCGGTCTCTAAGGAATGTTTTCCTGAGCTTAGCCTCCCTAGTAAGCTGGAATACAGATATTAGAGGCTACCACACCTGGCTTAAATGTTTTTAATTTTTTTTAGTTTTTGTAGATGACAGGTCTCACTATATCCGTCCAGGCTATTCTCAAGTCCTAGGCTCAAGCATCCCCGTCTTGACCTCCCAAAGTGCTGGGATTAACAGGAGTGAGCCACCATGCCTGACCTTTTTACATTGCATTTAAGATATTTATTGGTGAGAATTCAACAGTGAAGAGAAAAGGAAAAATTAAAAAAAAAAATACAAAAACAAAAAGACTATTTAGTTTCCCTCAGCATGGGTTTTAGTCACACTCATATTTGATTATGTGCATTTTATCTTATTGGTTCATCAACGGATTTGTCTAATTTTTATTTTCTCTTATTTGACCATATGGGGTTATTTGAAAATAACATTGTTAAATTCCAGATTCTTTGGGTATTTGTCTGGTTTTTCTTTTGTTACTGATTTCTAGCTAAATCACTAGTCAGAAAATACATTCTGTGGTGATTTTGTGCTTTGAAATCTATTGAGACCTTGCTTTTATAAAAAACCTAAATTTTTGGTTGGTAAATGTTCCTTATAGACATTGAAAAGAATGTACTTTCTATAGTTCATTGTCTGTTAAGTTGTTCAAATATGTGTTCTTTAGTCAAGTTGTTAAGTCTTTTGTTAAGTTTTTCTTATATTGCTTGATTTTATCATTTATACATATCAGTTATGCCGGCGCGAGGTTGGCTCACTCCTGTAAATCCTAACTTCTCTGGGAGGCGAGGGGCGGATTGCTCTAGATCAGGGGAGTTCGAAACAGCCTGAGCAGAGAGCGAGACCCCGTCATTACTATAAATTAGAAAGAAATTAATTGGCCCTAATATATACAAAAAATTAGCCGGGCATGGTGGCAAATGCCTGTGTCGCACTTGGGAGGCTGAGGGCAGGAGGATTTTGAGCAGGAGTTGAGGTTGCTGTTGAGCTAGGCTGACGTCATGCATCACTCTAGCCTGGGGCACAAGGCAAGCACACTAGTATCTCAAAAAAAAAAAAAATAGAATGAACGAAATTAGCTTGACAATAAAAATAGGGAGTTTGAGGTTGGCTGGAGCTAGCGCTGACCACGGTACTCACTCTAGCCAGGCACAAAGGTTGAGACTCTTTCAAAAAAAATCATATAATATACGTAGTTATTGACAGGGCTTATAGAAATTACAACTACTTATATGTGGATTCTATCTGTTTCTCTCTTAGATTGGATTGCCATTCCTGGGGATTCCCATCACTCCGTGACCTAAGGGGTCATTTCAGTATAGAATCTGCAGCCCTTGCTCCAGCTTTACAAGTGAACAGCTGTCTTGTGCTTTTTCACAGTTACTTGGGTGGTTTCCTCACCTGTGTATTTTCAATGCTTTTGATACAAAAAGTCCACTCTAGACATGTTAGGGGGTAGTATGTGTATTGGGAGGGGGATTGTATCTTAAAGATCACATACGGTATTTATTAGGTATCGAGTCCTTATGCTTTTATTCCTTTCTCTGCATTATTACCAAATATTGGTAGTTCAACTTCATTCCAGTGTAAGTCACTGTTCAATCCAAGTTTCAGTAAACTGGTGGGCATAATAAGAACACTCCCACTGATTCGAGTTATAATATTGAATATATTCTATCAGGAGGATGGGATATATTACCTTGTCAGAGGTCTCTGTAAGTATATTATGTCGTGTAAAATTTTAGCCCCCTAAAAAAAGAAGTATGTTGGCATTTTCTCGCTGGCTGATCAAGAGTGGAATCTATTCCCACATATACTCCCACGTGAATGGCAGCACAAATGTGGGCGGTAGAGCAATGACATGCCAAAGATGTCTACATCCAGTCCCCAGAATTTGTGGATATGTTACCTTCAAAGGGACTCTGCAGATGCGATTAGGTGAAGATCTTGAGATAAGGAGATTATCCTGGATCATGTTGGTGGGCCCAGTGTCATCACAAAGGTCCTTATAAGAGAATCAGGAGTGTGTCATCCTGAGGGAAGGAATGTGATGATGGAAGCAAAAGTCAGAGCGGGCCAGGTGCGGTGGCTCACGCCTGTAATCCGTAATCCTAGCACTCTGGGAGGCCGAGGTGGGCGGATTGCTCCGAGGTCAGGAGTTTGAACCAGCCTGAGGCAAGGAGCGAGACCCTGTCTCTACTATAATAGAAGAAATTATTGGCAATAATCCTTTAAGGGAAAAGATTGGGCGGGCGCGGTGGCTCACGCTGTAATCTAGTCTCTGGGAGGGGCCGAGGCGGCGGTTTGCTCAAGGCAGAGTTCGAAACAGCCTGAGCAAGAGCGAGCCCGTCATTACTATAATTAGAAATAAATTAATTGGCCAACTAATATAATTTTTCATAAGAAAAAATTAGCGGCATGGTGCTTCATGGCCTGTAGTTCCGCTTAAGCACTCGGGAGGCTGAGGCAGGAGGATTCGCTTGAGCCCAGGAGTTTGAGGTTGCTGTGAGCTAGGCTGACGCACGGCACTCACTCTAGCCTGGGCAACAAGTGAGACTCTGTCTCAAAAAAAAAAAGAAGAAAATTTACCGCATGGTTGGCGCATGCCTGTAGGTCCCAGGTTACTCAGGAGACTGAGGCAGCAGGATTGCTTGACCTAAGGATTGAGGTTGCTGTGAGCTAGGCTGCTGCCACGGCACTCACTCTAGGCTAGCCAACAAATTGAGACCTGGTCTAAAAAAAAAAAAAAAAAACAAACTTCAAAAGTCAGGGATGGGGATCACAAGCAAAGGAATGCAACAATGGAGGATGTGAACGATTGGCTGACTGAACTCTGTAAGTAACATGTTCTCTGTGAGGTCTTTAAAATACTGCCCTTTTATCTGGATGCTAGTGATTTCCTCACAAATTATTACTTCTCCAAAACATGAGTTTATGAGATAGAGATATATGATAAAATTAATACAGTAAAAAATTCTTGTTTGGATTAGCCAAAACAGATGCAATAGAAGGAAATATACTATTCCGAGGAGTAAAAAAAGAAATATAATAAAAATGATAGCAACAACTTAGTTATTATAAAGAGTATATTATTATAATGTATGATATAATATACATATGTAGATTACATATGCCAATTAAAACTCTTATGAAATATTTCACAGATGTTGATAAATTGGTGGTTTGAAAATAGGAATATTTTCAAGGGGTTACAATTATTATCTTTCCTCTCTGTAATGTAAAACATGTTATTTAATGATAGACATCAAAACCATACAGCATTTATTTTTTAAATATTATGGAATTATTCATGGAAAATAGGATGAATCCATGCTTACCTGGCACTGGCAGATAGATATACACATTCCAGAAAAATACTTGAACTACTGTTAAAAACTAAGTGTCCAATGAACAATAAAGTTAGTATCTCATTATCATTTGAATGAATGGCTTATTGGTATAATCTTAGAATCATTTCTCGTCAACTAATAAATTCCAAAAGAGTCAAAGAGTTAGGCATTTATTTAAAAAAAATCTAACACAGAAAAGCAAATAAAGAATTTAACCCAGCTGTGAAGGAGAGAGAAATTTATGATTTAAGAAATGAAGTGTATCATTAGAGATACTATGCATGTGTCTTAATATGTAAACATGTTTTACATAATGAGGCAGAATGAATATGTAAAATAAAGGAATGGGGAAAATATGTTTTGCATGATTGATAAGAACATAGTATTCAAAATATAGAACTGTTATAAATACAAAAGGTGAAACTAAATTCTATCAAGAAACAGTTTTATCTGTCTAAAGTGAATTCTTGTGATTCATAACAAAAATCATAATGCTGTTATTCTCATACTTCCCGCTTTTCAGAAAATATTCCCAAATCTGGCATGTAAAGGAATAATTTTTTATACATTGATCCTCCTAAGCAGTACTACTGTTTATGGCAGAAAAAAAGTAGAAACAACAAACACACAGGGAAACGCCTATAGAATGATAACCTGACTCCATTTCGAGATTTAAGTGACATTTGTGTGTTGTGTTGAAAAATGGAGATTTTTATATATCAGAAAGACACATCCCAAAAGATTATTATTGGACGTCTGTGTAAACACTTAATAGAACAGAATACATGGTCCTTGAATGGAGCTCACAGGAATTCTGTTCCTTTCGTAACATTGCTTAAGTTTATAATTTTAAAAAGTATCCTTAAACTTCTTGAAAATTCAAGAGTAATTTTCTTTTCTGAATTGAACTTTTTTCCTTGATTTGGTCTTTTAATAGATTTTATTTAGGAAATTATGTTATTTTTCCTAGATGGAGATCAGCCTCCATTTTCTGAGCCGAAATTCCCTACGGAATGCTTCTTTCTCACCCTGCATGCTCACCACCTCTCTATTCTGCCTAGTTGCCGTCGCTATATCCGCAGACTCCGGGCCATCCGGGAACTTAATAGGTATGTGCCGTGTTGCCATGTCCTGGGATTGCTAGAGTTACCACTTGTTCTCATGGGCAGGCAGTTCCATTGTGATCAGCGAATTTAAATGTGGGTGGGTCATATATTACATCATTCTGTCTGCCTCCCAACCACATCCGTGTTCCTTAGTTGTTCAAGTTCTTTAAAATGGCAAAGTGGTCCAAACCTTGATTTATGAGGTAACCTTGAAATCTGTCTTGTTCCTGTTAATGGAGGATACCTTTTTGTATGTCTTCTGTTATCACATTGAGGAAATTACCTTTTATTTCTAGTTTACTAAAAGTTTATAATTCTTAACAGGAGTTGAACTTTATTAAATGCTTTTTCCATATCTATTTAATAGAGTGGATTTTTCTTCTCCTTTATTCTGTTAATTATATCAATTCGTTTTCTGACATTAAACTAATATTTCATTCCTAGAATGAAACTCAACTTTTATATTATTATTTTTATATCTCATTTGGCTATTCAACTTGCTGATATCCTGTTTAGGATTTTTTTAATCTATTCTAAAGAAAGATTGACTTATACTTTTCTTTCTTAAGTGCATCTCAGATTTTGGTATCAAGATTATGCTGCTATAGAATGAACTGGGGAGTGTTCCCTTTTTTATATTCTCTGGAAGCATTTCTTGTGTAAGGATTATGTTGTTTCTTCCTTAAATGTCTGGAAAAATTCAGTGATGAAGTTGTCACAGCTTAGAATTTCTATGTAGGAAACTTTTTAATTGTGGATTTTATTCAATTAATAGATATAGGCCTATTTAGACTTTTATTTCATCTTGTGTCCGTTTTCCCGTGCTATCTTAAGTTTCACAATTTTTAAGCATAAAGTTGTTCATAATATCCTCTTTTTATCATTTTGTCTGTAAGATCTTTATTATTAATTCTGCTTTCTTTTAGTTTTAATTTGCTTTTTGTTGATATTTCCATTGCCTCTTGAGATGGATACTTAAATCATTTTTTGGAAACAGAGTCTCGCTCTGTTGCCCAGACTGGAGTGCAGTGGCACAATCACAGTTTACTGCAACCTCAAACTCCGGGCCTCAAGGAATTGTCCTGAGCTTAGCCTCCTGAGTAGCTGGGAATACAGATATAGGCTACCACACCTGGCTAAATTTTTTATTTTTTTAGTTTTTGTAGAGACAGGTCTCACTATATTGTCCAGGCTATTCTCAAAGTCCTAGGCTCAAGCAATCCTCCCGTCTTGACCTCCCAAAGTGCTGGGATTACAGGAGTGAGCCACCATGCCTGACCTTTCTTACATATGCATTTAAGACTATTTAGTTTCCCTCTAAGCATGGGTTTAGGTACATCACTCATATTTGATATGTCATTATCTTATTGTTCAGTTCAAGATATTTTCTAATTTTTATTTTCTCTTATTTGACCTATGGGTTATTTGAAAATACATTGTTTAAATTCCAGATTCTTGGGGTATTTGTCTGTTTTTCTTTTGTTACTGATTTCTAGCTAAATTCCACTATTGTCAGAAAATACATTCTGTGTGATTTGTGTCTTTTGAAATCTATTGAGACTTGCTTTATAACCTAAGATTTATGTTGGTAAATGTTCCTTATAGACATGAAAAGAATGTACTTTCTATAGTTATTGTCTGTTAAAGTGTTCAATATGTGTCATTTAGGTCAAGTCTGTTAAGTCTTTTGTTCAAGTTTTTCTTATATCTGCTGATTTTATCATTTTATAATATCAGTTATTGGCCGGGCGAGGTGGCTCACTCCTGTAATCCTAACTCTCTGGGAGGCCGAGGCGGGCGGATTGCTCTAGATCAGGAGTTCGAAACCAGCCTGAGCAAGAGCGAGACCCCGTCTCTACTATAAATAGAAAGAAATTAATTGGCCAACTAATATATACAAAAAATTAGCCGGGCATGGTGGCAAATGCCTGTAGTCCCAGCTACTTGGGAGGCTGAGGCAGGAGGATTGCTTGAGCCAGGAGTTTGAGGTTGCTGTGAGCTAGGCTGACGTCATGACATCACTCTAGCCTGGCACAAGGCAAGACACTGTCTCAAAAAAAAAAAAAAAAAATGAAGAATTAGCTGGACAACTAAAAATAGGGAGTTTGAGGTTGCTGTGAGCTAGGCTGACGCCACGGTACTCACTCTAGCCTAGGCAACAAAGTGAGACTCTGTCTCAAAAAAAATATATATATATATCAGTTATTGACAGGACTTATAGAAATTACAAACTATGATTGTGGATTTATCTGTTTCTTCATCTTAGGATGGATTGCCATCCTGGGATTCCCATCACTCCCAGTGACCTAAGGGGTCCATTTCAGTGATAGAATCTGCAGCCCTTGCTCCCAGCTTACAGTGAACAGCTGTCATTGTGCTTTTCAAAGTTACTGGTGTTTCCTCACCTGTGTATATTTCAATGCTTTGATACAAAAAGTACCATCTAGGACATAGTTAGGGGGGTAGTATGTGTATTGGGAGGGGGATTATCTTAACAGATCACATACGGTAAATCTATATTAGTGTTCTGAGCTCCTTATGCTTTTAATTCCTTTCTCTGCATTATACCAAGGAATATCTGGTAGTTCAACTTCATTCAGTGTAAGTCACTGTCAATTCCAAGTTTCAGTAAACTGGTTGGGCACATAATAAGAACCACTCCCAACTATTCGAGATAATATATGGAATATATTCCTATCAGAGGATGGGATATATACCTTTCAGAGTCTCTGATAGGTATAATTATGTCAGTGAATTTAGCCCTACAAAGAAGTATGTTAGCATTTTCCTCGCTGGCTGATCAAGAGTGGAATCTATTCCCACATATACTCCCACGTGTATGGCAGCACAAATGTGGGCGGTAGAGCAATGACATGCCAAAGATGTCTACATCCAGTCCCAGAATTTTGATAGTGTACCTAAAGGGACTCTGCAGAGTGCGATTAGGTTGAAGATCTGAGATAAGGGAGATATCCTGGATCAGTTTGGTGGGCCCAGGTGTCATCAAAAGGTCCTTAAAGAGAATCAGGAGGTGTGTCATCCTAGGGAAGAATGTAATGATGGGAAGCAAAGTCAGGAGCGGGCAGGTGCGGTGGCCACGCCTGTAATCCGTAATCTGAGCACTCTGGGAGGCCGAGGTGGGCGGATTGCTCCGAGGTCAGGAGGTTTGAACCAGCCTGAGGCAAGGAGCGAGACCCTGTCTCTACTATAATAGAAGAAATTATTGGCCAATAATTTATAAGGCGAAAAGATTGGGCCGGCGCGGTGGCTCACGCTGTGAATCTAGTCTCTGGGGAGGGCGCGAGACGGGCGGATTGCTCAAGGCAGGAGTTCGAAACAGCCTGACAGAGCGAGCTCGTCTTACTATAATTAGAATAATTAATTGGCCAACTATATAATTTTTCTAAGAAAAATTAGCGGCATGGTGCTTCAGGCCTGTAGTTCCAGCTAAGCACTCGGGGAGGCTGAGGAGGAGGATTTGGTTGAGCCAGGAGTTTAGGTTGCTGTGAGCTAGCTGACGCACGGCCACTGCACTCTAGGCTACTGGGCAACAAGTGAGCTCTGTCCTCAAAAAAAAAAAGAGAAAATGATTAACGGCGCATGGTTGGCGCATGCCTGTATGTCCCAAGGTTACTCAGGAGACTGAGGCAGCAGGATTGCTTGATGCTAAGATTGTGAGGTTGCCTGTGAGCTAGGCTGATGCCACGGCATGCACTCTAGGCTAGCCAACAAATGAAACCTGGTCTCAAAAAAAAAAAAAAAAACAAACTTCAAAGTCAGAGATGGATGGATCACAAGGCAAAGAAGCAGGTAACCCTGAATCTGGAAAAGGCTATATATTCTCTTCTGGACCTCCAGGAAGGAAGCATCCTGCTGAAAGATGTCAAAAATGTTACGGACCTACACACTGTTAGACTTCGTGACTCCAGCAACTCTCAGACATGATTGCTGTTATTTCAAGCCACTAAGTTTGTAGTACCTTGTTACAGACAGCAATAGAAATAATATAACGATACTGAATCTGCCTTTTTATCTTCGAATGTTACTTCTGCATGTGACTTTGTAATTGGGCCTAAAGGCAGTCCTTGATCTAGTTGTGGTCTGCGAAGCAAAGAAGGGATGATTGGGGTAGAACTAAGAGAAAGAGGCATTGCCGTTTGCAACGGTGACCACCTCTAGATAAGATCTTACAAAAGCTGCTTCTGCTGAGCAAGCAAGCTCAGGGGTTTAGAGATTGGGTACTTGGAATATCCAATTGCTCCAAACTTTGCCTCCATTTGAACTTCTTGGGTCGCAGTCTTTACCCTCACTTTTCGATAAAGCCCAGTGTATTGAATGTAGCCCTGTATATGATTTGGTGTGTGAACCAGATACTCTTGGTAGTCTTTGAAACTGGTCATGCTTTCCTTCAGGTGGAATTAAAATCTTTGAAACTGTCCACTTTTGTTTCTATCAGTTCTCCAACATAATTAGAATAGCCATGCCATCTTCATTCTAGGGAGATCACAGGTGATCATTTATATGGCTGTTTTTCTATCAGAGCCGTGGGCTACCAGTATTCTATCCCCTCACACTCACTGATCTTCACCATTTCAGACAGCAACTTGAAGAATGATTCCAGAAGCTCCTTTTTTTCACGGAGGGTGCATTAGCTATAGCATCTTTTGTGCCAGTAAGCGTGTGTAAGAGACATTATATACTTTTCTATGCTGCTTTGATAAATCGCGCCAAACTTGAGGACTAAAACAGTAAATTATTATCTGTTCTGGAGATCAGAAGTCCAAATCACGGTTACATTGCCTTTTAGAGTCTTTAGAGGAGAATCGTTTTCCTTCGTTTTCAGCTTTCTAGACGCCACCTCATTCTTGGCTTGGCCCCCTACTCATTTTCAACCAGCGCATAGCATTACCTCAGATTCCTCTCTCTGGCTCTGCTCTCTGGTCACGTCTCTCCTGACGACTCTATACTCCCTTTCTCTTAGAAGGCCTTTGTGGATATTATGTGGCCCACCAAAATCCAGGATACTTTCCCGTCGTGAAAGGTCTATACGTTTAATCCTCTGTGGTACCTTTTGCCATGTAAAGTCACATATTCACAGGTTCCATCAGCAAGGATCAGGATGTGACAGGATTTGGGGGCATCTTCTGTCTGCCATTGCACATGTTTCAGTTGTAGACAAAAATCCAGTTTATCTGGGATAAGTAGAAAGAGATTTGAGATACTTAGTTGGTCTATGGGTCATGGAAATGGGGGTTGGACTAGAGGATGCAGAGTGGACTGTGAACGCTGTTGACAAGAAAGCTGCTGCAGGGCTCAGCCAAAACGCCTTCCGCCAGCATTGTGTCAAGAGTCATGCAACTGACACGTGAATCATTACTGCTGCCTTCAATGAGGGTTCATCCTGGTGAAGGCTAGGGTTACAGAAATTGCGGCAGGACAGGCCGGCACGGTGGCTCCGCTGTAATGCCAGCATTCTGGGTGGAGTGTCGAGGCGGGCTGGATCATCAAGGTCAGGAGGTCTAACAGCCTGACACGAGACCCGTTCTATATAAGTAGAAATTAAATTGCCAACTAAAGTATTAGAAAAAATGTAACGGGATGTTGGCGCAATGGCTGTAGTCCGGCCACTCGGGGGGGTTGAGGCAGAAGATCGCTTTGGCCTAGGGTTTGAGGCTTGCTGTGGAAGCTGGCTGCGTGCCACTGCACTTAGCCTGAGCAACAGAGTAGACTCTGTCTCGAAAAAGAAAGATACACAGAGGGGAGAGGAGGGAGAGAGAAATGCTGGCAGGCCAAGGGAGTCTGGGGAATGTAGTTTTTATGAGATTTTAGCAGGGTTTCTGTCTTACAAAATGTGGGATTGATAGGAAAGGGATTTAAGAATATGTACTAAATGATGTTCTTTTAAAGTTGCACTTAATAGGAAGATCAGGAAGACTATACTTCACGACATGGACATTTTGAGAACACCTCAGGGAAGGCTGAAAGACAAAGCCACAAGTAATCTCAGAGAAGAGCTTTCCGAGGAAGGAGGCACGTTGTAAAGAAAAAAAGGAAGATGCCATTAATAAAATTAGCCTTTTCTTTTAAGTATCGAATGGCCTAGTAACCTTGAATTATTCATGAGGGACTTTTTCCCCCTCAGAAAATAAGGGAAAAATGTTTACTTCCTTCTAAAAGTTACCTATTTTCAAATCTTGGGAGGTGCCTTAATTTTAGCAATTCCTTATTTTAGGTATCAATAGAGAAATGCTGTCAATTAAAACCATAACTTGCCATTTGATTTTTTTTTTTTTTTTTTTGGAACAGGAGTCTCATTTTGTTGCTGGTAAGTGGAGTGCGTGCTCAGCTAGCTCACAGCAACCTCAATCTCCGGGGGTCAAGCAATCCTTCTGCCTCAGGGGGTCTCCGGAGTGCAGGGATACAGGCATGGTGCACCATGCCCGGCTTAATTTTTTTCTTATCTGTATTATATTTTTAGTTGTCAATTGATTTTCTTTTATTTTTAGTAGATACGGGTCTCACTCAGGCTGCGTTTCAGAACTCCAAACCTTGAGCAATCGGCCCGCCTCGGCCTCCGAGTGCTAGGATTACAGGCGTGAGCCACCGCCGGCCCGGCCTTCATTGGGATTTCAAGATATACTCCCTGATCTTGAAGACTGGCTACAGTTGTGAGAAAGTACTCATGCTCTGAGAGTCAATGAAATGCAGAATGATGGGGGTTTCAGATGATCCGTGTTTCCTTTGTCTTGACTGACTTTTAGCTTTGATTTCAGACTGTAGAAGATTTGAAAAATAATGAAAGCCAATGGAAGATTCCCCGCTGGCAACAGCACGTGAAATGCTGAAGCGCTTGTAAACTCAGCTTAAGGTTTGGTTGTAGTTAATTGGATAATACAGACACAGCTTTCATAATGGGGCAAATTTCCACCAGAATATGTGCTTAGTGGAGCCTTCAGTGTCGGGTTTCTTCATTATTTCTTTCTCTTATTATTATAAAATAGTTAATTTAAAACTTGTTGATACATACATATGGTCTACATATAATTTTTGATTTTTTTGAGACAAGAGTTCTTACTCTGTTGCCCAGGCCTAAGAGTGGAGTGACCGGTGGGCATCAAGCCTAGCTCCAGCAACTCAGGACTCCGGGGCTCAAGCAATCCTGCTGCCTCGAGTCCTGGAAGGAGCTGGGACTACAGGCTGCACCACCATGCCGGTTAATTTTGTCTTAGTACTTATATTGTTGCCAGTTAATTTCTTCTATTTGCTAGTGAGACAGGGTCTCGCTCTTGCCTTCCAGGGTGGTTTTCGAACTCCTGACTGAATCCGCCCCACCTTGGCTCCCAGAATGCTAGGATTACAGGCGTGAGCAACGAGCTGTTTGCTAATTGATAATTATTTTAAATCCCAGGGCAGAATGTGCTATGCTGTGTAGGTGACATCAGGAATTGCCTAATGGATGTTTTTTTCATTGCAGTCTAACACCTTCCCCTTCCCTGCCTTATGACAAGGGTGCCCTAACTGTGCTCCTCTGGCTCCACCAGATTACGTGCATGTTTAGCATTCCACTTTTTGTATTTGACACGTGGATCTATGGTAGTGGAAGATCTCCTTCCTTTGCCTTCATATTTTTTTATTTTTTTTTTTCTTTTGCGACAGAGATTCGCTCTGTACCCAGGGTAGAGTTGCAGGTGGCATCATCATAGCTCACGTACCAGTCTTCAAATTTCCCAGCTCAATTGATCTTGCCTCAGCATCCCAAGGTTGCCAGGACTACAATGGCGATGTGCCACACGCCAGCTATATTTTAAAAATTTTTTGTAGAGACGAGTCTCACCATGTTGCTCAGGCTGGGGTCTTGAATTTCCTGGCTAATGGATCCTCCTGCCTCGCCTCCTAAACGTCCTAGGTATACAGGTGTGAGCACTGGGGTCTCTTCCGTTGACCCTCGTTTTTCATTTTTAATTAAAATGATCTGCTGCACAACCTACCACTATGTTGGGTTCATTCCTGCTTGATGGGACATAGCCAAAAAATGCTGGTTATGTGTCACAGAAAGCATATATGGCAAATTATAGCATTTTTCTTCCGTTTTATTCTTCATGTAAAAGGCTGGCTGGAAAAAACAAAACGTGAGCTGGCCCTACTTTCTGCTGATTGAGTAGGATGGGTTATGTGGGAAATTTTTACCTGACTTAGATTTTCTGGTACAAGTTAATGATCTCCAGTTTCATTTACTAATAGACTAGATCGTCTTCCAGATGTAAAAATAAATCAGGGGGGCCCGTATCTGGGTCTGTTGGGCCCCCCTGATGCACTTCTACAGAATGCATAGGGGGTCATGAACTCTTGAATCTGTATGTCGGTGTGCATTGCTTGTATGTTCATTTCTCTCAACAATCCTCTGAGAAGGATTCATCCTGTATGGACAAAACATTTTTGTTTGGAGAGCAGCTCGGTAAGCAACCATGCTGGTTTCAGAAGGCATTATTGGTCTGACTTTTTTCCCACGAACCGTCGCTGACTCCAAAGTGGCTCCCTTCACGCCACCCCAAATCAAGTTATTTAATATGACAGTAAGTAACTAAACTTTTTGAGCACTAACTGTGTGCAGACTTTGAACTCAAGTAGTTTTGGCTTGGCATACTTTTATTTTTCTCAGGACAAAGAAAGATCTTGGACACAGGCCTGCATCTCATAGCTAGTTAGAGATTGAACTCTAAAACTTTAGAACCTAGATTTCTCCTGGGCCCTTTTGCCTGGCCCAGTCACACTACGGGGGCTTAGACTGGCTAATCTAAAGGGTGGGACATACCTTGCTTCCACAGAACACTTGGTACGGTGCTAGGCCTGTGGTGACGCCGGCTTACTTGAGTAAGAGCTTTCCTGCGAAGGATGGCCTTGAATTTTTATGGCTTCTCGCATTCAGCTGCTGGCCTCCGCATCTGGAACCCCGCCATATCCCGGAGTGGGAGTGGTGTGGCTTCCTCTGTTACCTTGTCTCTGCTCAGCTGGGCTGTGGTCTTTACTGTTTTCCGAAGTCCATAACTAAAACCAAGACCCTTACCATAGCAAGATTCACTTCTGGTTTCCAGGTTGCATTCTGTGCATGGTATTTAGTAAGGTGTCTTTCCTGCAGCTTACCTACCAGTAATAGGTGGAAAGGGTCGGCACCTGTATTTTAAATTTGACATAGTTTTTCTTAAAAATATGCTATAACATCTTTGATAGAAAGGAAATTATATAATTGCGGTTAGCTAAAAAGCCTGCTGATAACGAGAATATTAGGCCCTTCCAAGAACACTGGAAGGATACCATTTAATCATAGGAGTGAGCTAGGAATATGTTGATACTTCGCTCACCAACTGGACATCTCCGCAGCCATTTTTATTTATTATTTATTATGTTTTACATATTATTACAAAGTTTGAGTCCTGATTTTGGCTAAAATTGTTAACGTTCTGCAAGAGGTGTAAAAAGGTTATTTAAAAGATACATGTATACATCCTCTGGTTGTCTTCAGTTTTGGAGTTGTCCAAATACCAAATATGCCTTTTATTTCGCTTCCCATTTTATTATTGCATCCCCCCCCCCCCCCCCCCCCCTTTAACCTTAATAAGGAAATCAAAATAAGGAAAAAATTTCACCACAGCCTAGCTGTATTGAACTATCTTCATTCATGCCCTGCTTATTTCCTTTGTGTTCTTTACCTACATACCTTTTTATGATGGTTGCTCTTATAGAATGACGTTTTTTCCCCGATAATAAATGCTTACTTAATGATAGTATAATAATTCCTTGTAGTTTAGCCTAATTCATTTTGTAAATTGGTGCTTTTTTTCTCTTTGACAGTATAACACTGGGCCTTTAAATTCGAGTTCCCAAGGTATTTGCAGCAATTTACCTTTAAGTTTTATGATAGAAGATGTTGCCGAATTTTTATTTTTATTGTCAGTTAAGCTGCCTTTAACATATTACATAGTTTTGATGTTTTATGCATATATGTACATGATAATGAATTATATTCAGCCTGCATTAAAAAAAAAAAGATATTATGACATTTTATTGCACTCCATTTTATGCCGATTTAGATTGTACCCGCCGGTTTTAAACCGAGAATGCTGCCTAAAGCTGAAAAATAAATCAACTGTGACGCACCAGTCCAATTCCTATATCTCAAAGAACAGAAGCAGGATTAACAGCTGCGATAAATAAATGTCCAGTTGTCTGTGAAATTAAGTTGAATTTTCTAATAGTTGGAGTGGTTGTGTTTCTGAGAACCAGAAGGAACAGTTTTAAATTCTGCGGGATTGAACGGTCAAAGCAGAAATAACCCACATCTATATTTTCTACCATAATTTGTCTCAATTGTAAATTTGAAAAAGTGCAAAGAATGGGTGTGAGTTTATAACTGTATTGAGCATTTTCAGGAATATTTTTCAAATCCTTATTTGGTTTATGAAATTTCAGATAATAAATGCAAAAATAAAATTTAGGAAATTTGTATTTCTAAAACATTTAACGGATTGTAGGGAATTCAGTGCCAATTCCTTGTCACATGGTGCATTGGTTGTTGGTAATATGGCTAGATTGATGATAATAGTATGTTAAGTTCTGTTTTGAAAAGTAAAGAGTAGTATAGGTTCACGCGTCACTATTTCACAAAATACACACGTGAGAGTTTTGTAACAGAAAAATCAAAGAAATTAGTATTATGTAAATGGTGTTTACATAAGAGCAGCCATTAATGAGCAAGTTCGTATTGGGGCTGCCATAAAAACATACTTTAAAAAAGCAGAAATCAGTAGGTAACACATGATCTTTTTGATATGGTGAGAAATTTAAGGCTTGCCTAAAATCATGCTATTATTTGGGTTTGAAAAGTAGCTTGGCACAGAAACCAAAAGATCACACGATTACTAATGTGGGGATAACAAAGTTTGGGGTGGGGTTTGATCTCAAAAAGATAGGAGAGGAGATGATAGTACCAGAGGCTGAGAAGGGTGGGTGGGGAGGAGGGATAGAAAAGGGTAGGTTAAAGCGGAACAAGCAGACATTAGATAAAGGTTATCAATTCTATTGTTGGACAGCAAAGTATGGAGAGACTTTTTAGCTTAACAACAAAACAACGTGTTGCTATGTTTCCAAGTGCTTTGAAAGTGAGAAATTTGAATTGTTCTCAACAGGCAATTATAAATGAATACTCAGTGATGGAGTGCCTCAGATTCCTTTGGACTTTATCTTTACACATTCTGTCGCGGTAAGACAAAATATCACATGGACCCCATATAAATATGTAAGAATATTATGTATTAAAAAAATCTTGGAATTTCAAGCAACTCAAGTCCACCTTTTTCAAATTTGTTTCAGCACAGGTAATTGAAAAACCCTTTTTGAAAATTTTTGTTTATGCTTATTCTCATTTTTAGCAGTTTATTAAAATTTAAAAACAACTCCATCAAGAAATTTTAAGTCTTTGGTAGTAAAAATCTTTTGGGTGAATCTTACCTGTTTGAATCTTTCATTTTTTTAAGCTTTGTTTATTTTCTAAAACATCATAAGTTACTTAACATTCTTACGCAATAAATTTTTGGTTTTTTTAAATCTGTGTAGTCTCATGATATAAATAGTCACTTTAAAGGTCAGCAAATTAAAGGGCATTCAGCGTCTGTTGCACCTTGCGCCCTGTATTACCGGGCCGTAAACTTCATGACACAGTCTTTTCACCCAGGTTCAGGAGTTTCTCAGAGATTTTATTTCTTGTTTTCTTACCTCCGCTTCAGAATCCACCTCAGGTGCTTTACGAGCGCCCTGTACTCAGGATATTGGTGATGTTCCTTGTCGTGATAGTTGTGCAACCAGAACTACATTCCGCATCCATCATCTGGTGGCCAAACTGGTAGAAGTCATGTTTATGACCAACCCTCTGTCAGCACGAACCAGAAGTTTTTTGAAATGTGAGAATCATCCTCTCGCCACCAAACTGTTAGGTACTTCGCTAGATGACCAGTTTTATACATGTATGGAGTTCCTTGGTGTACATGGTGGCCATGCTGGGTGGTCAGGATGTAGGCAAGGTCATCTTGAAGCCAGGTGGACAAGTCACTGGGGAATCATGCTACTAATTATCTTGACCTCTATTTATAAGTGTAACCATTGTCCTGCTGCCAGCAAAGATTGTACTATTGGCTGTTTTTCCCTGCTGGAGTAGTGGAGGATACTACACTGACTGCTTCTACATGGACTGATCTCTTGATTCAACAACATCCAATTAACAGTCAGATGATTACATTGAGACCTCAACTGGCTATCAAACAGCACGAAGTTGTGGTGTTATCTGGGTGTGAATTACCTGGTTATTGAGGCTTTGAATTTTACAGCATTTTAGTTTTGTTAAACTCTTTCTGCTACCCAGGCTTTCCAAAGGTGTGGATAAAGCAAGGAGCATTGGGTTAAAATACCTCTCTTAGATTCTACTCAAACTAAGGGAATCAGGAATTTCTCGGGGGCCTCTGGAAGTCCTCACTCACTCAACTATTCACAAGCATGTTATTGAGTCCTCCATGTGTCACGCACCTTCTAGGGTGCTGGGTTACAGCTGGGTAAAAACGACAGCATGTGAGTACTTTGCAGGAGATCCTCCCTCTTCTTGTTGAACTGGTTAAAAAGACAGCATGTGGAGATCTTTGAAGAAGATCCTTCTTCTTGGTTGAATTTGTATTTTCCAAATTTTCATATTTAATTTGGCTTTTGAACTGTTACTCATTGGGGACGTGTCACCTGTCCTCTACACTGGGTAAAAACGACGCATGTGAGATACTTTGCAGAAGATTCCTCTACTTGCTGGTTGATTGTTTCACAATTTATATTTAATTTGGCTTTGAACCTGTTACCCATAGGGACGGTGTTCAGCCTGTCCTCTAACAAAGGGCTCAAAGATTGTACTAAGGTGAAATTTTTTCTTCCAGGCTATATTATTCCAAGGAAAGGAAGTGTCTTGGTCTGTCTTTCTTATCTTCTGGTTGAACACTAGCACATATCTTGTGCACTCTGAGGTCTTTGGCCAATTTAATGCCAAAAAAAATGTACTCGCCATGTCTTATAGAAACACTGGGCTGCCAGAGCACAGACCCTTGCTGTTCACAGTTTTAGCGATTTCCAGTGTTCACCGTCATCCCTTCTCTGTCAGCCAGGGCCTGCACAAGGCTTATTTTGGACCATGCTGATCATCTCTCTCTTATCTTCCTCATGGTCCACAAACCTGCCAACCTTAACTTTTCCTTTTCATTATATTTTGTGGCCAAAATCTAAGAAGAGTCTTCCTATCTCGCTACACGTATCTCTGGAAACGTGTACAAGCAAGTACATGAGCCTGAAATTTTTGTTAACATTCCTTACTTTTGGCAACAGGCACGAGACACTCCTGGTTAAAGGACACCTCCTTGGGAGTAACCAGTATTCTCTTTTATCTCTGAGCCCTGCATGCGGTCATTCACGGTACATACGTTAATTGCATGTACAGGTTACTACCAGATGTGGTCCTTCACATGTAGCTGGCTTGGTGGAATTGAAGATAATTCAGAATTTCTTAAAATGATGATGGAGTTACCACTTTCACATTTAATTTATTTTAACCTGAAAATACCTAACGCTAACATGTTGCGCTAACTTATAGAGAAGTAACCAACCTGCAAAAATTTGTTTACTACCTGTAAGCCAGTGTGCGAATTAGTGCTAGAAATTCTCACGAGAATGCTAAATTCGGTAAAACCTTTCTGGGCAAGCGGTTTGGCAATACACATTAAGCTTTGATAGGCCGGCGCTGTGGCTCACGCCTGTAATCCTAGCTCTTGGGAGGCCGAGGCGGCGATTGCTCAAGGTCAGGAGTTCAAAACCAGCCTGAGCAAGAGCGAGACCCGTCTCTACTATAAATAGAAAGAAATTAATTGGCCAACTGATATATATATAAAAAATTAGCCGGCATGGTGGCGCATGCCTGTAGTCCAGCTACTCGGGAGGCTGAGGCAGGAGGATCCTTGAGCCCAGGAGTTTGAGGTTGCGTGAGCTAGGCTGACGCCACGGCACTCACTCTAGCCTGGCAACAAAGTGAGACTCTGTCTCAAAAAAAAAAAAAAAAAAGCTTTGTAAAATGTTAATATATCCAGTCAGGGTCTAATCAGGAACAGCAGAAACGATGCAGTACTCTTAACAGAATTTGGGGGGAGTGCAGTGGCATCACTCATGCCTATAATCCTTTAGCGTTGGAGGCTGAGACAGAGTGAATTCCTTGAGGACCAGGCTGTTCAAGATCAAACTGGGCAACAAATAGCAAGACCCATATCTTACAATAGTACAAAGAAATAGAATGAAAATTTAATATTTGAGGAACTGGTCAAACGTAGGTATTAGGAAGATTGAAGGCAGTAGCATCTATCCTTACAGCTGTGGGAGACCAAGGGAAGGGTTGGGCTAACTCAGCTCTCTTAATGAGGCTAGGACACGAGCCTGACCCAGACCTCTGCAGAAGGCCCTTGCCAGCTAGAGTAGTGTCTATGGAGGGTATATGCAGTGTGCTAGTTCTAGGGGTAAAGAAAAACCTGGACATTTTTGGAACAACTAGCTACTGCTGGGCAGAAGCCCCATTGCTGGCCAGCACCAGCAAGGAGTCATCAAGTCCCTTGCTTAAAAATTTTCCTGCAGTTTTCCAGTTCTTCCTGCAGTGCACCCTGTTTGGAACCCTAACAGAGAGAGGGCGGCGGCAAAGGAAAACTCTGCGGTTGCCCACAGAATACAAAACCAAGTACAAACAAAGCCGTGAGAACAACAGCTCAAATAACCAGCATATACACTGACATTGAAACTTACATGACTAGAATTTATTTGTATGGAATAATTATAAATGTGCATAATGGTTCATGACAGTATTCATTGAAGCATTATTTATAATGCTGTATAGTTGAGATAATGGAAACAAACCTAATTCTGTCAACTTTTTAGATTAATTTATAGTTACAGATTTTATACAGTGGAGCTATTTAGGCATGAAAAATTAACATATGTCTATAGCTAAGTGTTAAGATAACAAAAAGTAAAGAAAATGCCAAGTAATGAAACAGGTTTATCTACATTTTTGGTGTGTGTATATATATATAATATATATATACTATATAGTATATATATATGATAAAAAAGTAGGAAGAAATATATTATATACAAATATAGATATTAACAGTTAGATGGTATTTATCGT